GCCGGGCATGGTGGCGCATGCCTGTAGTCCCAGCTACTTGGGAGGCTGAGGCAGAAGGATCGCTTGAGCCCAGGAGTTTGAGGTTGCTGTGAGCTAGGCTGACGCCATGGCACTCACTCTAGCCCGGGCAAAAGAGTGAGACTCTGTCTCAAAAAAAAAAAAAAAGAAACACTTTTGCATATGTGCACTAGGAAGCATATTAAAACATTCATATCATCATTTGTAAAACCAAAAACAAACCGATTTAGGAATGGAGAAGTAAACTGTACAATTTACTATACTGCAGTATATTTGTACAATAAAATATAAAACACACAGCAGTGGAAATGAATGAACTATAGCTATACACTTCAACATGGTTGAACTAAAAACACAATGTTAAACAAACAAAAGCAAGTCAGAATGTAGAGAATGATTCAAACACAGGTAAAACTATACAAGCTATTGTCTAGCAAGTGTGTGTGTGTGTGTGTGTGTGTGTGTGTGTGTCTGCTGTAACAAATTTTGTTGACCTTGTAGTATAAAACAACAGAAATTTCTTCTCTCACAGTTCTCAGAGTCAGAAATCTGAAATCTGTATTACAGAGCTGAAATCAAGATGTGATCAGGCTGCATTCCCTTTGGAATTTCTGGGGCAGAATCTATTCCTTGCCTCTTCCAGATTCTGGTAGCTGCCACATTCCTTGGCTTGTGGCCACAATAATCCGATCTTCAAGGCCAGCATCTTCAAATCTCTCTTTGCTCCATCTTCACATTGCCTTCTCCTCCATATGTGTTTGTATAAAATCTGCCCCTTTCTTGTAAGGACAGTTGCGATTGCATTAGGGTTCAGCCAGATAATTGAAAATAATCTCTCCACCTCAAGATCCTTAATTTAATTACATCTGCAAAGACCTCTTTCTTCCATATAAGGTAACATTTACAGCTGTCCAAAGATTAGGCCTAGATATCATTTGGCGGAGGGTGGGGGGTGGAGGGGCAAGTACAGGGAGCATGATTCAATCTGCTACAGTGTTAAAACTAGAGAAAATAAAATTCAGGATAGAAGCTATCTCTGGGCATTGGGAAGGAGTTGCAATTGAGATGGAGAACACAGGAGCCTTTAAAGATGTTGCTTCATCATCTAGAGAATGGGTATAGAAGTGTTCATTTTGCTATTACTACTATTATTATTATTTTCTGCATCTCAGTTTCTATTCTGCTCCATATTAGATACTCAAATTATGGTGCTTTCTCTACCCACCCTCTTACTTTAACCCTTCCACCACTGTGGCACATAGTTAGCACTGGTAGCATTTAAAGTGTTTGCCATGTTAAGTATAGTAAAAGTTTATAGATTATCTCACTTAATCTCCATGACAATGCAATATGGATAAGTATTATTATTAATCCTATTTCACAGATGATGAGGAGGAGGAAATAGAGACTTTCTGAGATTAGATAGCTAGTCTCAACATCACAGTTATTATATGGTGGAACCTAGACTCAAACCGAAGTAGTCTGATTCTACTACAGTAGAATGTGTAAATTTTACTTCCTGCACTTTTTTTGGATTGGAGCATTTAAAAAAAAAAAAATTAAGGTAAAATCCACATACAATAAAATCTACCCTTTCTGGTGTACAGTTCTGCAAGTTTTGTTCTTATTTGAGACAGTCTTGCTCTGTGACCCGGCTAGAGTGCAGTGGCATCATCATAGCCCACTGCAACCTCCAATTCCTGGGTTCAAGTGATCCTCCTGCCTCAGCCTCCTGAGTAGCTGGGACCACAGGCACGCACCACTGCACCCGACGAATTTTTCTAGTTTTAGTAGAGATGGGGGTTTCCCTCTTGCTAAGGCTAGTCTCAAACTCCTGAGCTCAAAGTATCCTCTTGCCTCGGCCACCCAGAGTGCTAGGATTACAGGTGTGAGCCACTGCACCCAACTCAGTTCTGCAAGTTTTGACACAAGCATACAGATGAGTCATCACCACCAAAATCAAGATTTAAAACAGTTCTATCTCTCTGAAAAATTCTCCTGTGCCCTTTTGTACTCAGCCCCTCTTCCACCCACAGCCCCTGACAACCATTAGTTTTCTATCCCTTTAGTTTTCTTTTTTCCAGAATACCATATAAATGGAATAATATCTTATGCAGTCTTTTAAGTCTGTCTTCTTTCATGTAGCATAAAACATTCGTTCACCAATAGAAGGACATTTGTTTCTAGTTTGGGGCAATTATGAATAAAGTTACTACAAACATTCACATATAAGTTTTTGTATAAACATGCATTTTCATTTCCCTTGAGTAAATACCTAGGAATTATATTGCTAGGTCATATGGTAGCAATACATTCATAAGAAACTGCCAAATGTTATCTAAAATGGCTTTATTATTTTGCATTCCCATCAACAATATATGTGAGTTCCAATTGCTCCACATCCTTGGCCTACATTTGGTATTGTCATTTTTTTAACAGCTTTATCGAGGTATAATTGACATACAATAAACTGTACATATCAAAATTTTGATAAGTTTTGATATGTGTATACACTCATGAAAGCATCACCAAAAGCAAGATAATTAACAACTCCACCATCCCAAAATGTTTCTTTATTCTTTTCTGTAATCTCTCCTCCCCACCCCCTCATCCTCAGTCAACCACTGATCTGTTTTATCATATAATAAATGATAAGATTGGTTTTCATAGATTGGTTTTCATTTTCTAAAATAACACATAAATGGAATCATGCAACATCCGCTCTTTTTAATTTGGCTTCTTTCATTCAGCATAAGTATTTTGAAATTTGTCCAGGTAGTTAGTATGTATATCAATAGTTCATTCCTTTTTTTTTTTTTCTGAGTGTAGTATTCCATTGTATGGCTATACCATAACTTATTTATCCATTGATGGACATTTGGGTCATTTCCAGATTTTGGCTATTGAAAATAAGGCTGGCTGGTCTCTCCCTGCTCCCTCTCCTCCCCTCCAGTTACTCAAAATCAATCAATCAGTCAATAAGGCTGCCATGAACATTGGTGTACAAGTCTTTGTGTGGACATATGCTCTTATTTCTCTTGGGTCAATACTGAATAGAAGAATGGCTAGGACAGGTGTGATGGCTCATGTCTGTAATCCCAGTACTCTGGAGGCAGAGGCAGGAGGATCACTTGAGATCAAGAGTTCGCGACCAGCCTGAGCAACATAGTGAAGCCCCCGTCTGTACAAAAAAATTTAAAAATTAACTGGGCATGGTGGCAGGCTTGTAGTCCCTGCTACTTAGGAAGCTGAGATAGAAGGATCGCTTAAACCCAGGCATTCAAGGTTTCAGTGAGCTATGATCACACTGCTGCACTGTAGCTTGGGTGACAGAGAAAGACCTTGTCTCAAAACAAACAAACAGACAAAAATCCCAGAAAAACAAACAATGGCTAGATCACATGATAGTGCACTTTTTAAGAAACTGTTAACTGTTTTCAGAAGAGATTGTATCATTTTACATTGCCACCAGCAGTGCATGAGAATTCCAGTTGTTCCACATTCTTGGCCAACATTTAATATGGTTAGGCTTTTTAATTTCAGACATTCTAATAGGTGTATGTATCTCATTATGATTTTAATTTGCATTTCCCTAATGACTAATGATGTTGACATCTTTTCATGTGATTATTTGCCATTTGTTCATCTTCTGTGAAGTGTCTGTTCAAATATTTTACCCATTTAAACAATTGAGTTATTTTCTTATTATTGAATTTTGAGAGTTCTTTGTATAGTCTGAATACTGGATACAAAACCTTTATCGGATATGTGATTTGTAATATCTGATATTGATCAGAATTGTGATCTAATATGTGAATCGGCATCTAACAATACTGAGTCTTTCAATGAATAAACATAGTATATTTCTCCATTTATTTAGATCTTCTTTGATTTTTTCACCAATATTTTGTATTTTTCAACATACAGATCTTGCACCTATTTTGTTAGATTTATACTCAAGTATTTTTTTTTTTTATTTCAGCATATTACGGGGGTACAGATGTTTAGGTTACGTATGTTGCCCTTCCCCCCCCCGCCCCCTCCCCCCCTAAGTCCGAGTTTCAAATATGTCCATCCTTCGGGTGGTGCGCATTGCATATACTCAAGTATCTCTTTCTTTCTTTTTTTTAAGGAATGCATGCTTACATTGCCTTTTATTGCTGCATTTCTCTACTTGGCCTATTAGAGCCCAATGGAGAAATAAACATGTTCTAATAAAATATTCTCTCTCTTCTTACCACTGAGTTCAAGAAAAAAAGAAAAACTCTCTTTAAAATTTCAATAGATTTAGGGGATACAAGTGGAATTTTGTTAACATAGATATATCCTATAGTGGTGATGTCTGGGCTTTTAGTGTAACCATCGCCTGAATAGCATACATTGTATCCAGTAGGTAATTTTTCATCCCTCATGCTCCTACCATCCTTCCCCCTTCTGAGTCTCCAATGTCTATTATTACACTCTGTATGACCATGCATACCCCATAGATTAGGTCCCACTTATTAGTGAGAACATATGGTATTTGATTTTCCATTCCCAAGTTACTTCACTCAGGAAAATGGCCAATAGTTCCAGCCAAGTTGTTGCAAAAGACATTAATTCATTCTTTTTTATGGCTGAATAGTATCCTATGGTATAATATATATTAATATAAACCACGTTTTAAAAATCCACTCATCAGTTGATGGATATGTAAGTTATACCATAGCTTTGCATTTGAATAGTACTGCAATAAACATAAGAGTGTAGGTATCTTTTTTATTCTGCACCTTGGTGATCACATTTATTGGAAGTGTTGGAGAAAAATAAAACGACATTTAGCTTAAGAAGTTGTGAGTTATCTGCGAATTAACTCATTTCAGAAGTGGAAGAATCCTTGGGTCATTTCTTAATGTCAAAATGTATGCAGGTTTCTCTTTTGAATGTCTTGTACGTTTAAAGAGGCAATGGTACAAAGTCTCCTTCAGGATAAATCCTTTGTTTCAGCCAACTCTCAATGGAGGGGCAACTAGGACAACACCATCTCCACAGACAAACAGCACTCGAATATTCTGTTTCATTGATTTATAGATCTCTTCATATGTTTCTTCATCAATTTCTATAGTAGTCACAGTTTGTTCCACATCTCCCAATATCATATTTAAATGTTGATCATAAGCATGTAATCTGCCTTGAAGCTCTCAGTGATTTTTCATTTTCACGTAAATCCCCTGAGCCTGATAAGATCAAGGGGCTCCTCTATGAGGTTGGTAGTTTGTCGTGCCACTTACGTCTCTGTCTGGGATGCCCACTGTCCCCCTTTTCATCTTGTAGCTTTAAATATTGCTTTTTCAAAGAGGGTTCTCCCTGTTATCTAATTCATTCATTCAATAAATATTTGTTGAGTCTGTCAGGTCCACTTCTGCCATGTTTTAAACCCTGTGTCCTTTCGTAGCTATCTTTTTTTTTTCTTCCCATCCTAATTTATCCTTCGTAGGTATCTTTTTGATACAATGATTTCTTTTCCTTTGGGTAGATGCCCAGTAGTGAGATTGCTAAATTGAATGGTAGTTCAATTTTTAGTTCTTTGAGAAATCTCCATACTATTTTCCATAGAGGTTATACTATTGTGCAATCCCACCAACAATGTATAAGCATTCCCTTTTCATGCATCCGCACTAACATCTTTTTTTTTAATCTTCCCAAGATAGTAATTCAGGAGGGAGGGGAGAAAAAAAAAAAGGTAGTAGTTCATATTTTTTTTTGACTTTTTAATAATGGCCATTCAGACTGGAGTAAAATGATATCTCATTGTGGTCTTATTTTTTAGAGACAGGGCCTTGCTCTGTTGCCCAGGCTAGAGTGCAGTGGTATGATCATAGCTCACTATAACCTTGAATTCCTGGGCTCAGGTGATCCTCCTCCCTCAGTCTCCTGAGTAGCTAAGACTACTGGCATGTGCCACCACACTTGGCTAATTTTTAAATTTTTTTGTCTTGGGGTCTTGCTATGTTGCCCAGGCTCCTTCTTGAACTCCTCACCTTAAGCAATCCTCCCACCTCAGCCTCCTAAAGCACTGGGATTACATGAGTCACTGTGCCTGGCCCTCATTGTGGTTTTAATTTGCATTTCTGTGATGTTGAGCATTTTTTCAGATGTTTGTTGGCCATTTGTAGTATTTCATGTTCTCAGTGCTATTTCAAATACTACTGTCATTAAGTTTCAATTTATGATTGTTTATTACTAGTGTATATAAATGTGGTTTTGATTTTTGTTTATTGGTCTTGTATCCTGTGAATATTTTAAACAATAGTATTAATAGCTTTTTGGTAAATTCTTTGGGAGTTTTTACATAGACAAACAGTTTTGTCTGTAAATAGAAACCATTTTATTTCTCTCTTTCTCATTAATTTTCTTTTTCTTACCTTATTGCATTGGTTAGGACCTTTATACAATGTTGAGTAGAAGTGATTAGAACAGGTAGTATTGGGAGGCTGAGGCAGGAGGATCACTTGAGTCCAGGAGTTCCAGGCTACAGTCAGTTATGATTGTGCTACCACACTCCAGCCTGGGTGACAGAGTGAGACTGTCTCTTTTTAAAGAAGAAGGAGAAGAAGAACAAAGAGGAGGAGGAAGAGAAGAAGAAGGAGGAGGAGAAGAAGAGGAGGAGGGAGAGCAGGAGGAGGAAGAGGGGGAGGAAGAAGAGAGATTAGAATAGAACTTTCACAGCACTTTAGACTTTCTCTATTAAATATGATGTTAGCTCTAGGTTTTTTATAAATACACTTTATTAGGTTGAGGAAATTACCCTCTATTCCTATTATAGTTTGTTACAGTTTCTTTTAAAAACCATGAATGAATGTAGAATTTTGTCAACTGTTTTTTCTGCATCTATTGAGATAATATAGTTTTTCTTTAGCCTGTTGATATGGTAAATTACATTTAGTAATCATCAAATTTTGAACTAGCCTTGTATCCCAGGGTAAATCCCACTTGCTTGGGATGTTATCTTTTTAATATATCATTTGATTTTATTTTCTAATATTTTATTAAACATTTTTGTGTCCATGTTTATAAAGTGAGGGATATTGGTGTATAGTTTACTTTTTTTTTTTTTCGGAAGGGGACTGAGCCTGACAAGGCTGCAGGGCCGCGAGGCCCCGCCCCCCCATAGTTTACTTTTTTATGTCTTCATCTGGTTTTGATATCAGAGATTGAGTTAGGAAGTATTCCTTCCTTTTCAAATTCTTGGAAAAATTTATGAGCAATTAGCATTATGTTTTTAATGTTATTCTTGATCGCTTGGCTTAGCAAACTTTGTCTCCACTCTCTTATGTTTCTGACTTAGATTTGCTGCAACTACATCATCTCTGTTACTGATTGTAATATTTCCAGCACTCAATATCTGATTATTTCTTTTTAATGTTTTTGAAAAAAAATTTATTATTAATTGTGAAATATATATAACATAAAATTTACCATCTTCATCATTTTTAAGTGTACGGTTCAGTAGTGTTACGTGTGAATATACATTGTTATACATTATTTTGCAGCCAATCTCCAGAACTATTCCATCTTGCAAAACTGAAATTCTCATTATACAACAGCACTCATTTCCTTTTCCTCTTATTCCCTGGAAACCAAAATTCTACTTTCTGTTTCTATGGATTCAACTATTCTAGGTACTTCATATAAGTAGAATCATAAAGTTTTTGTCTTTTTACGACTGGCTTATTTCACTTAGTATAGTGTCTTCAAGGTTCATCCACACTGTAGCATGTGTCAAAATATCCTTCATTTTTAAGACTGAATAGCATTCCATTGTGTATATATATAAATATTTACTACATTTTGTTTATCCATTCATCTGTCAATGTACACTTAGGTTGTCTCCACCTCTTGGCTATTATGAATAATGACGCTATGAGCATGGATGTACAATTATTTCTTAGGGACCCTGCTTTCAATTCTTTTGCATTTAGACCCAGAGTGGAATTGCTGGATCACACGGTAATTCTATTTTTAATTTTTGGAGGGACTGCCCTACTGTTTTCCATAGCAGCTGTACAATTTTATATTCCTACCAACAGTGCACAAGGGTTTCAATTATTCACATCCTCACTCACACTTGGTACTCTATTTTTTTCAATAATAGCCATCTTAATGAATGTGAAGTGGTATCTCATTGTGATTTTTATTTGCATTTTTCTAATGATTAGTTGGGTTCAACATCTTTTCCTGTGCTTGTTGGCCATTTGCGTATCTTCTTTGAATGTGCATTCTAATCTTTTGCCCATTTTTAAATTGGTTTGCTTTTTTTTGATGTTGCATTTACATGAGTTCTTTATTTATTGTGGATGTTAGCCCCTTATCAGATATATGATTTACAAATATTTTCTCCTATTCCATAGTTTGACTTTTCAAGCTGTTTATTGCATCCTTTGATGCATAAAAGTTTTTAATTTTGCTGTAGATCATTTATCTAGTTTTCCTTTCTTGCCTGTAATTTTGGTGTTATATTCAAGAAATCATTGCTAAGTCCAATGCCATGAAGCTTTTCTCCTATGTTTTCTTCTAAGCATTTTATACTATTAGGTCTTATGGTTAGGTCTTTGACTCATTTTGGGTTAAATTTTTTACATGATGTAAGGTAGGGGTCCAATTTCATTCTTTTACTTGTGGGTATTCAGTTTTCCCACCACCATTTATTAAAAAGACTGTCCTTTCTCCATGGAATGGTCTTGGCATCCTTGCGGAAAGTTAATTTGACCATTTACTATGCATATACTATACTATACATACACTGCTAATATGGTGTTTATTTCTGGGCTCTCTATTCTGTTCCATTAGTCTACATGTCTGTCTTTATGCCAATACCACATTGTTTTGATTACTGTAGCTTTGTAATATGTTTGAAATCAGGAAGTATGTGATCTCCAACTTAGTTCTTCTTTTTCAAGATTGTTTCAGCTATTCAGGGTCCCTTGATATTCCATATGAATTTTAGAATGGATTTTTCTATTTCTACAAAAAATGCCATTGGGATTTTGATAGGGATTGCATTAATCTGTAGATCAGTTTGGGTAGTATTGACATCTTAACAGTATTAAATATTCCAATCCATGAACATGGGATGTCTTTCCATTTGTTTGTGTCTTCTTTAATTTCTCTCAGTAACATTTTGTAGTGAAAACTACAGGTGTACAAGTCTTTCACCTTCTTGGTTAAGTTTATTCCTAAGTATTTTTTTTTGATGCTATTATAAGTGGCATTATTTTCTTAATTTCCTTTTCAGATTGCTATGTCAATGCATAGCAAAGCAACTGATTTCTGTGTGTTATTTTGTGTCCTTCAACTTTGCTGAATTCATTAGTTTTAATAGTTGTATGTGTGTTTATGTGTAATCTTTAGGGTTTTCTATATACAAAATCACGTCGTCTGTGAACAGAGATAATTTTACTTCATGCTTTCCAATTTTTCTTGCCTAACTGCTGTGTGTAGAACTTCTAGTACTATCTTAGCTAGAGGTGGTGAAAGTGGGCATCTTTGCCTTGTTACTGATCTTAGAAGAAAAATTTTCAGTCTTTCACCATAAAGTATGATAATACCTGGGAGCTTTTCATATATGGCTTTTATTATGTTGAAGAGGTTTCTTTCTCTTTCCAATTTGTTGTTTGTTTTTATCATGAAAGAGTATATAATTTTGTCAAATGCTTTTCTATATCAATTGAGATGCTCATGTGTGTTTTTTTCTGTCTTTCTGTTAATTTGGTATATTACATTGATTGATTTATGTATGTTAAACCATCCTTGCATTCCAGGAATAAATCACATTTGGTCATGGTGTATAATGCTTTTTTTTTTTGTTTTGAGACAGAGTCTCACTGTGTTGCCCGGGCTAGAGTGCCATGGCATCATCCTTGCTCACAGCAACCTCAAACTCCTGGGCTCAAGCGATCCTCCTGCCTCAGCCTCCTGAGTAGCTGGGACTACAGGCATGCGCCACCATGCCCGGCTAATTTTTTTTTCTAGATATTTTTAGTTGTCCAATTAATTTCTTTCTATTTTTAGCAGAGACGGGGTCTCGCTTTTGCTCAGGCTGGTTTCGAACTCCTGAGCTCAAACAATCCGCCCGCCTCGGCCTCCCAGAGAGCTAGGATTACAGGCGTGAGCCACCACGCCCGGCCACTGGTGTATAATGCTTTTAATGTGCTCTTGAATACTGTTTGCTGGTATTTTGTTGAGGTTTTTTGTATTTTCCCTCAGAGATGTTGGTCTGTAGTTTTCTTTCTTTCTTTTTCTTTTTCTTTTCTTTTCTTTTTTTTTAGTGCCTTTGTCTGGCTTTGTTACATGCTGGCCTCAAAGAATGAGTTGGGAAGTGTTTCTTCCCCTTCAATTTTCTGGGAGACTTTAGGAGGAGTTGGTAGTATTTTTTCCTTGACCACTGTGCTATGTGTTAGCTTGTATTGTTATTCTTCATTACGTGGCTTAGCAAACTTTGTCTCTGCTCTCCCATGTTCCTGACTTAAATTATTATTTGTTGCAACTGCATCACCTGTCTCTGATTGCAGTATTTCTAATACCTAATATCTGATTACTCCTTTTGCATGATGATTTGATTTGCAAAATCCAAATATTACTCTCACTGTAAAAAATATAGAGAGAGTTCAGTTTGTCAGAAGCCAAAATGTTAAAGTTGGGAAGGAAGAACCAGTGGCTCTTAATTCTATTAGATTTATTATGACCTTTTAAAATATTATTTTTTTGTCTTTAAATTTTGTTTATTTTTAGAAAATAAATGGCAAACCATATACACTGCGGAGTCTGAATACCCCCATCATAAAGTATGAATGATAGTCCGGTTGCGAAGCTCCTGAATATATTCTTTGGCGTGAGTGACTGCCGTCTTTGGTGCCTCACGTGGAGGTGGGGGTCCTTCCACCAACTTCACAAAATAATGGCAATAAACCTTCTCCATGATCCCAAAGTAACCTCTGCCATGGTAGCGGATGCGTTTCAGGCCCTGGCCTCGCCCTGAGCCAGACACAGCTATATATAAATTGGATCTGAATTCCACATTGTGCTCTCTCACTGCCATATCTTGTGCTTCTAAGAGAACCTCTTTAATTATTTTGGCTCCTTTTTTGTCACTGAATTCCAACTGAGCCAAAGCCTGGTCAATGGACATTCCTTGTATCAATTTTGCCAAATACCACATCTTGTCTTTGCTATATTTTATTTGTCTTCGACAGTGGTAGATCTCTGCCGGTCTCCGAGGTTCTCCAGGCAGTTGTGGAGGATAAACAGTTTTATTCTTCTTCTCCCATTTTCGAGAAATGTCAAGAGAAGCACTTGTATGGATATATGATTGAGGTAAAACACTGTGAGATGAAAGAAACCCCAAGGCCAGCTTCCCCCGGCTCTTCAGGTTCTGTATACATAACGCACCCAACCGTCCCAGTACTGCCGCCGCCATCTTTCCCCTTTTAAAATATTTTTAACATCCCATTTATTCCTCTAAAATGATATTCATAAACTATACTCATACTTTCAGAAAATTAATATGAATGTGATAGTAAGTAAAAGGAAAGTAATTTATAATAACATGCACTTCAATATGTAAATCCTAGGTCGAACTTTGCTAGAAGTAGAAAGGCTTGCATCTATATGGAGAATTAAAGTAAATATGAAAGATACAAATGTAGGCTGATTCAAATTCAGCTTTATTGTACTGGCACTAAATACTATTAACTCTAATGCATTGCTGTTGGTACTATAGTGTTCCAGAATTGTCAAACTTTCTTGGAGAAATTTTAAAGAACATTTTTTTCTTTGATTTACATAGTATTTGTATTTCTGGAAATTTCAATGTAAAATTAAACTGGGCAAAAAATATTCTGTTTTTTTTTTTTACCTAAATGAATGTTCCATGGAACATCAAAGGTCACACAGGATGTGGGACAATTCTTCATTGGGTGGTACTGTTCATTGCACTGTGGGATGCACTAGCATTCATTCTTTAGTACCACCAGTAGTCCACCCTCCCAATCATTGTGACAATGAAAAATGCTTCCACAAATTTCCAAATGTCACATATGAGGCAGTAATTACCTCCCATCAAGAACTACTAGAATAAAGTGATGAATAAAAGAAATTTGCTGATAAGAATCTTTTTTTTTCTTTACATATACTCAATGTAGTGAGCTCATAAGATTCTTGGGCAAAGGAGATAATTAAATAAAAGCTATGTTTGAGGAATATTCTGATAGCTACTTTCCAGGTGTTAAGGCCAGGTAAAGAAACAAAAAAAGAAGCAACTTGCATTTTTTTTTTTTTTACCAGCTGTGGTTTACAAAGCATTTTCACATACGTTATACACTTCACATCAGCTGTGAATTTAGTATCTCCCCCATTTTACAGAGGAAGCAGAAGAAGCTCATAAATGTTGTGACTTAATAAAAGTCATTTTAATGAAAGACCTAGAGTTAGGATCCACATTCAGCTTCAAACCTAATGTTTTTTCTGTTATATCGTGGTATTGCAAGGATGAGGAAGGCAGAAAAAAGAATTTTTTTAATGAGGGAAAATCTGGTAGCACTTTGAAAGGCCAAGGCAGGGCGATTGCTTGAAGCCAGGAGTTTGAGACCAGCCTGAGCAAGAGCAAGACCCCATCTCTATAAAAAATGGAAAACTTAGTCGGGCGTAATGGTGCATGCCTGCAGTCCCAGATGCTCGGGAGGCTGAGGCAGGAGGATTGCTTGAGCCCAGGAGTTTGAGGTTGCAGTGAGCTAGGCTGACGCCACTGCGCTCTGTCTCAAAAAAAAAAAAAAAAAAAAAATCTGAGGCTCATTTAGCAAGACTTTAATTGGACAGCTTTATATTAACTATATCATTGACATTCTGGGAAGAAAGGTGACAAAGCTTCTTTGAAAATTGAGGATTTATTAATATATTCCCCCTTCTTATTCTTATAGGACATTAATACGCGCCTGAGTGAGATAATGAACAATGTGCATCGGATAATAACTCGCTATACTGCTGATCTTAACTTGTCCACCGTAAGGACTCTCTCCACTACAGAATATAAGAAAAAACAGAGAACCAGTGTTTCAGAGAAAATGATTACTTTTGCTCAGAATGGTGAAATTAGAGAAAAGACTCTTGCCTACATTCTGGCCTGGTTGGAAGAATGGAGTAAGTTTCCAGAAATAATTTAGAGGAAAATCACAAAGTTGATGAAAACTGTAGAGAAGAGAATGAATAAGTAAATTTTGAAGGATCAGACTAAAGAAGAAAAGACTAAGGAGGTTATTCAGATGGTTGTGCTCTGTTCCAGTAAAAATAAAATAAAAATATAGGCTTATTCACTCAGTGCCAGCTATTCTGGCCTCCTTGCTTTTTTTTCAAGCATGCCAGCATGTTCTTCCTGCCCAATGTCTTTATGCTTACTATTCCCTTGCTTGTAACATTTCCCACCAAATAGTCACATGGCTCATTCACTGCTTAAATTTGACTTTAAAATGAGGTGTTCTCTGAACACCCTCATTCCTTTTCATCTGGCATTCTCCATTATCCTCCACCCTTCCTTTATTTTTGTCTACAGCATTAGTATCTGACATACAATATTATGAACTTTTTATTTTTTATCTCTCTCCTTTTACTAGAATGTAAGCAGTATGAAGTCAGGGAACTTATTTTATTTAATGCTGTATCCACAGTGTCTAGAACAGTACATGGCAGAGTAGACATTGGTTGAATGAAAGAATGAATAAGCTAAGCATACCAAAAAAAGGAATTTCACTTTGCTGCAAGAAATCTCATGTAACAGGGATTATAAATACCTGATAACTTACCAAAGGAGTTAAATGGGATTTAGATCCCCAATATTAAAACACGCACTCTCATTTTAGATACCTACTTCCCTGGTGTCAGGGAACTAAACCAAATAGAGACCTTTTTACCTGATTCATGTTTTCATGTCCAAGACTTACTGTTCAGCCTTCTGTTCCAAGCCTCTTCCTTTTTAATTTTTTCATAGAGAAAAGACCCAGAATGGTAGTATGAGATACCTATATTCCCCAATAATACTATATGGAGTATTTACCCAATATTATACACTTATATGGATAATTATCTTTCTGCAATTTTCTGTAATTTTTTTACTCTCTTCAAGGTGCCGTTTTGTCTGAGATGACTGTAATTGATATTGATGAACACCACCAGTGGATAACACAAATGCAGATGTTACCAGACACATTAAAAGCTATTGAAAACAATGTGAAGATGCTGTGTAGATTCACTACATCTTTTCTTGAAGAAAAGAAGACACAAAAGAAAAAAATATGTAAGGGTGCTTTATGACTTTGGAAATGGAGTTTGACTTTTTCTTAAAAAAAAACAGCTTTATCGAGGTATAATTTGTATAAATGTTAAGTGAACAATTAAATGATTTTCATTAATTTATAGAGTTTTGCAATGGTCACCACAATACAGTTTTAGAACATTTCCATTACCCCAAAAAGATCCCTCATGCTCATTTACGGTCAATTCTCATTCCCACCAGCAGCCACAAACAGCAGTCTATTTTATGTCACAATAAATTTGCTTTTTCTGGATAGTTCATATAAACAGAATCATATTATATGTAGTCTTTTATGTCGCCTTTCTTTCAATTAGCATTGTGCTTTTGGTCTTCAGCCATGTTATAGGATGTATGAGTAATTTCTTCCTTTCTATTGCTAATTATATAGTTGTTTAAGAAATCATTACAAAAGGAAAAAGATAAAATGTTTTCACTGTCTTTTTTTTTTTTGAGACAGAATCTCACTGTGTTGCCCGGGCTTGAGTGCCGTGGCATCATCCTAGCTCACAGTAACCTCAAACTCCTGGGCTCAAGCGATCCTCCTGCCTCAGCCTCCCGAGTAGCTGGGACTACAGGCATACGTCACCATGCCCGGCTAATTTTTTCTATATATTTTTAGTTGTCCAGCTAATTTCTTTCTATTTTTTTTAGTAGAGATGGGGTCTCGCTCTTCCTCAGGCTGGTCTCGAACTCCTGAGCTCAAATGATCTGCCCTCCTTGGCCTCCCAGAGTGCTAGGTTTACAGGCGTGAGCCACCACGCCCGGCCTATACTGTACTCTTTAGAAGGAAGTCTGGATGCAGACCACACTTAAGGAATGGGGAGTTATGATTTACTTCCTTCAGAATGGAGTGTCTACATAAATTATTTGAAATTCTTATACATGGGAGATTTGTCTCTTCTCTCCCATTTATTAATTTATTCAATTATTTATATCAAAATGGACTCATGAATATTTATTTTATACTTTGCATTATAATCCAATACTAGTTTATTTTCTTTCTCAAATCATTCCAGCTTTGGCCATTGGGAGTTCTTTCAATTAGCTCCTTTGCCCCTTTGACATACTCCTATCAATGTGGGTTTTTTGTTTGGTTGGAATTTTAGCACTTCCTTACTTTCTGTATTCCAAGACGCTTCAGACTCATCTTGTATATTTCCTGTCTCAGTCCGACAATCAACCATTTCGCCAAGGATTTCTGGTTCCTTTTACTGGAGAATAGTATTAAAAACCAAAGTCTGGGTGCTAGGTGTGCTCATTGCTACTGGGGTTTTATTTCTTTTAGGCCTTCTCAGCTGACAAAGCAAAGAAATATACATATGTATACTGACCCATGAATATACACATATCTATAAATATTTCTGTACATAACCATTTGTAACTGTATTCAGCCAAACATGAGTCTTTACTGATGTCTCCAACTCTAATCCATTACCACATGGACCATCCTAGCTCCCTCCCTTTGCTTATTTGTAAATTCCCACTCAAACAGCGAGAAACCTGGTTTTCCACAATCTGCCATCTACTTACTAATTATTCAATTCCAGTGTACATATATAGCAGTATCACAATTGTTAACCCATACCCCCATGAGAAATAACTCTATCTGTAGTATAGTGCTATTCCTTTAGTTTTGTAGACTCAGCTGGGCATTGGTAGCTCATGCCTGTCATCCCCGGCACTTTGGGAAGCTGAGGCAAGAGGATTGCTTGAGCCTAGGAGTTCGAGGCTACAGTGAGCTATGATCGTGCCACTGCTCTCCAGCCTGGGCAACAGAGCAAGACTCTGTCTCTAAAAAAAAAAAAAATTAAAAATTGAAAAAATAAGATAAAATTTAAAAAGTGGTTTTATAGACTTCATTCATTTCCAGTGTTACTTAGCTCAGCACCTTCCCTCCACCCCACCCCTTCATTGAGGTTGTGTGATGCATTTCTGGTATGTTACAGTCTCTTGTCACAGTCTGCATTTCTTCCTGGAATACTTTGACTTCTAAGTGATTATTTCTTAAAATTTGCATATATTAAGCTTCACTCTTTGTGCTGTAGTATTCTATGGGTTTTGACAAATGCATATCGTCATGTATCCACAATTAAAGTATCATACAGAATAGTTTCTCCATCCTAAAAACCCCTGTGTTTTACCTAGTTATCCTTCCCCTCTCTCTCTCTGAGCATCTGGCAACTACTAATTTTTTTAATGTCTGTATAGTTTTTTTCAGAATGTCATAATTGGAATCATGCAGTATGTAGTTTTTCAGACTAGTTTCTATCACTTAGTAATATACATTTAAGGTTTCCCCATATCTTTTTTGGTTTAATAGTTCATTTTTTCTTGCCGAATAATATTCCATTGTACAGATGTACCATGTTTGTTTATCCACCTATTGAAGGACATCTTGGTTGCTTCCAGGTTTTAGTGATTAGGAATAAAGATGCTATAAACATTTGCAAGATTTTTGTGTGGACATAAGTTTTCAAATCAATTAAGTAAATACTGAGGAGCACAATTTGTGGATTATATCTAAGACTATGTTACTTAATAAGTAACTTTGTAGGAATTGCCAAACTGTCTTTCAAAGTAGCTTTACCATTTTTCATTCTTACCATCAGTGAACAAAATTTCCTATTGATCCACATCCTTGCCAGCATTTGGTATTGTCAGTTCATCAGATTTTTTGGATTTTAGCTATTTTAATAGGTGTGGAACAGTATCCCATGGTTGTACTTTGCAGTTCCCTAATAACAGAAGATGTTGAGCATCTTGTCATATGCTTATTTGCCATCTGTGAATTTCATTTCTCACCTTCATTATTTGAAGAATAGTTTTGCTAGATATAGAGTTCTTGATTAATAGTCTTTTTCTTTCAACACTTTAAATATGTCATTCTACTGCTTCTGGCCTCCACTATTTATGATAAGAAGTGAGCTGTTAAACTTACTCTGGTTCCCTTGTACTTGATGAGTCTCCTTTGATTCTGATAAGTCATTTTTTCTTTCTACCTTAAAGATTTTCTCTTTGGCTTTCAACAGTTTAACTATAATGTGTTTAGGTATAGATTTTTTGATGTTTATCCTACTTAGAGTTCACTGAGCTTCTTAAATATGCAGATTAATATTTTTCATTAAATTTGGGGTGCCTGGGCCATTATTTCTTTAAATATTTTTTATGACTTCCTTCCTTCTCTCTTCCATGGACTTCCAATACTTGCGCATTGGTATGCTTGACGGTGTCTGCTATGGTCTGAGTGTTTGTGTCCCCTCAAAATTCATATGTTGAAATCTGGTATTAGGAGATGGGGCCTTTGGAAGGTGATTAGGTCATAAGGTCATGAATGGGATTAGTGCCCTCATAAAAGATGACCAAGAAAGATCCTACGCCCCTCCCACCATGTAAGGTTAGTGTGAGAATACAGCTATTGATGAGGAAGCAGGCCCTCACCAGACACTGAATCTGCCTTGATCTTGGACTTCCTTCCCAGCCTCCAGAACTGTGAGAAATAAATTTGTGTTGTTTATAAGCTCCCCAGTTTATGGTATTTTGTTATAGCAGCCTGAATGAACTAAGACAGTGTCCCACAAGTCTCTGAGGCTTTAGTTATCTTTCTTCATTCTTTTTTCTCCCTACTCTTCAGATTGGATGATCTCTACTAATTTAGGATCGAGTTTGCTTATTATTTTCTTCCATCATCTTAAATCTGCTATTGGGCCCTTCTGGTCAATTTTTCATATTAGTTAATATAGTTTCATATTAGTTTTTCATATTAGTTTCATATTAGTTTCATATACTTTTCAACTCCAGAATTTCTACTTGGTTTTTCTCATTTTCATCTGTTTACTCATATGCTCTGTTTGATGAATAATTGTCATCATTTGTCCCATATTTTCCTTTTATTTTTAAATATTGTTTCCTTTAATTCTTTGGACACATTTATAACACTTCTTTTGAAGTCTTTTTTCTGATAAGTCCAACATCTGGGCCCCCTCAGAGACAATTTCTGTTGACTGCTTTTTTCCCCCCTGTGTATGGGTCACATTTTCCTATTTCTTTGCATTTTCTTAATGTTGAAAACTGGACATTTTAGATACTACCATATCGTAGCAACTCTGAATTCTGATTCCCCCTGCTACTCCAGGGTTTATTTTTGTTGCTTTTTTTTTTTTTACTGAATTGCCTGGACTAATTCTATGGAGTCTCTTTCTCCCACAGTGTGAAGGCACTAGCACTAATATCTCTGCTCAGTTCTTTTTTTTTTTTTTTTTTTTGAGATAGGGTCTTGCTCTGTCGCCCTGGCTAGAATGTTGTGGCATCAGCCTAGCTCACAGCAATCTCAAACTCCTGGGCTCAAGCCAGCCTCCTGCCTAAGCCTCTGAAGTAGCTGGGACTATAGGCGCATGCCACCACACCTTGATAATTTTTTCTATTTTTCTATTTTAGAGCAAGACAGGGTCTTGCTCTTGCTCAGGCTGGTCTCAAACTCCTAACCTCAAGCAATCCTCCTGACTTGGCCTCCCAGAGTGCTAGGATTACAGGCATGAGCCACCATGCCTGGCCTCTGATCAGTTCTTTCTTTTTTTTTTTTTTTCCATTTTTGTTTTTATTTTTTAAGCTTGATTTCTAGGGGATCATCCTTGGGTCAATATAGCTTTGTGGTCAGTCAGTAATTGGCCAATCATTGACTGATTCCAATAAGGCTTCCACTCTTTGGTAATGGATCTGTGTATGGGTTAACTGTTTTTGACAATGCCCTGGTATGGTTTTTTCCCCCGTGCTGTTTCTCCAAATCAAGTCATCCCCCTCAGGCAATAGAATTGTCAGTCCTCACAGCCTGCCTCACTCTGGTAGAACTTCCAGGTCATAGATCTGGGGGTTGAGGCTGGAAACAGTTACAGATTAACAGACTTTCATTGTTTTTTACTGAGGTACAGTAGTTTTTCTTAAATAAATGCTTCTCAATTTGTTGTATACCTTTGGTCAATTTCCAAAGTCCTAAAAATGATTGTTTTGACAGGTTTTCTAGTTTTATCATTTTTGGGAGGGGGATGCTGAATTTCTCATTAATCCATTCTAGAAATCCTTCCAAATGTCCATCTTTTGTCTGTTCATTTATGACTCTTTTGAAAGGTCCAAGATTAGCTTTGATTCATAAAAGGAAGAAAAGAGAGACAGGAACCCAAGAAAGAAAATGGAAAGTACTAAGCATAACCAAAGCCTGAGGAAAGTTTGGCTTGATAAATTACAATGTAAATTGTATCTCATTCCAAACTTGTAACTAAAAGTAAATTGAAGTTACAGCTGAGTTCATGTCCTAAACTCTGTAAGCCGAAGTTCTAGGTGATTGTGGGGAGTCATTCTTTTTAAAATAATACTGTTTATTTTGGAGCTAAAGTTTTTTGATGAATCTTTAACCTATAGATATCCATTAGTTTAGACTAAATTCCTTAGCCTTAAATATAGATAAAGCACAATGCAAAAAAAAAAATGCAATCTCATTGTTTTATGTTTTTTTCTTTCAGTATCAAGAGGTACTCTATGGAAAACTTGGAAAGAAAGAGTTATAAAGCGACCTGCAACAGCCCATGCTTTAAGGCCAGATCAGATGATTAGTGATCAATTTGCAACAAATATAAAGATTTCAGAAATCCAAGATATGCTACAGGAACTCATAGGCACGTCAATGTTCAACAAATTGGAAAACAATGCTATTAAATATATATCATCAACAATAATAAATCTTTCTAAAGCTTTGAATTTGCTAAGTGATGAATTAAAAGGTATTGACTTCCAAAGTGCCAATATGTATGTAGATGAGTCAAGTGATAAAGAAAAAGAGCTCTCCCTGAAGATGATACAAGATCTCAGTGAAGAAAATGAAATGCTTCAGCAGAAACTTCAAGATGCAGAAGAAAAATATGAACAACTTCAAACCAAAGTTGTTACAGAACGCCAAATACATACAGCATTGCCCAGATCATCAACCTCGAAAGCATTACCTGGACCTTCTTCACAGTCATCCGTTGTTGTTACCAAAGCTGGTGACATAGAGGACAATATGGAACGTATTTTCGCCAAAGAATTTGGAAATACTGTAGATGAAGCCCCTCAAAAAGTGATCAAAGGCTCTGGGAAAAAGTGGGGCTCAGCTCCTTCATATATAGCCCAACCTGAAATGATTCCAGGTTTAACTGAAAAACAACAACGTTCACCTGAAAAAAAACAGAAAAAGCCTCCTGAAGGTGACGTCTATCAGAAAGATGAGACTTACCAGTATCAATCACAGAAAAGGAAGTACACAAAAGGCGTAGATGCCAATGAAACCTCTAGATCAGATCTGAGTGATAATAAAAGTGAACAGAAAGTTTCAGACGCCAAACCTCATCAATACTCTGAGCTACAAGCACTGGACAACAAAAGAAATGAAAGGAAATTCTTTTCTGAAGCCAAATCAAAGTCACCCACTGAATCACAAAGCCAACATTACCTTTTTACTGAAACAAAGAGCCAACGTGGCAAAGATGGAACAAGTAGTATATGGGAGCAACTCAGGAAAGTCAAACATGAATATTTATCTGTCAAAAGCCCAATTTCGTCCACCACTGAATCAATGGACAAAGGGAGCAAAAGTGAGATGAGCAGCCTAGTGGAGCTACTCAGGAAGACTCAATCAGATTATACCTCTGAGCCACAGAAAGAAAAAAGAAAAATTAAAAAACACCAAATCTCTTCAGAAACTACCAAAAGCAAAGAAGAAAAAACCAAAAAGAAGGAAACTTTAGCCTTCACCAAAAAAGCCGAGACTCCTCAACTTGTTAAATCACACTCAAGAATAGCAAAAGAGACTTCAGAATCTACCAGAGCTCTAGAAAGTCAAGATGACGAAAGTGAACAGAGTAACCTAGAAGAATTTCAGAAAGCCATAATGGCTTTCCTAAAAGAGAAAATCGATAACATAGGAAAGCCTTTTGATAAAAAGACTGTGCTGAAGGAAGAGGAGTTATTAAAAAGAGCAGAAGTTGAAAAATTAGGAATCATAAAGGCAAAAATGGAGGAATATTTCCAAAAAGTGGCTGAAACTGTGACTAAAATCTTGAGGAGATACAAAGATATAAAAAAGGAAGGACAAGTTGAAGAGAAACTTATGAAACAAAAAAAGATAGTCTCATTTATGCCAGGATTGCATTTTCAGAAGTCACCAATTAATGCAAAATCTGAAAGTAGTACCTTCCCTTCCTATGACAGCACAGATCCAGTAATTAACAATTTACTACAAATGATCTTGGCTGAAACAGAAAGTGAAAGAGATGTTATAACAGTCTCAGTAGTAGGCAAAGACCACAAGGAGAAGGAAAAACAAAGGCAGGAGGAATATTTGCAAGAGGGTCAAGAAAAAATGTCTGGCATAAGTCTCATACACCAGTTGCTAGAAAAAATAAATCTTTCAAAGGAGATCTATGAGAAGATAAATAATAATTTGGAGGAGAAAAAGGCACAGCTCCAGATGAAGGAGGGAAAGCAAGGACAACAGAAGCAGAAAGAGGGGCAGGATGAAGTGTGGAAGAAACAGCAAAAACAGAGGGTTCAAAAGCAGATTGAGCAAGATGAGAAGCAAAAGCAAAGGGGAAAGGATGAAGAAGAGCATCAGAAGCCTGTGCAGCAGCAGAAGGAAGCATGGAAGCAAAAAATGAAAGAGCAAGGGATACTCTTGGAAAAGGAGAATGGAGACACGAGGCAGGTTCAGAAGGACATGAGACATCTGGGGCTGAAAATGAGCGGGAAGAAAGAGAAGGAGAAGCAGAAGCCAGGGAGAGAGGTAGAGGACCTTGAAAGGCAGAGGCAGAATTTAGCAAAGGATCAGATGAAGATTGAGGAGGAAAAACCTGAAGAGCTAGTAAAAACGGTCACCCAAGCTCCAGAGACATCGTCTTCCAAGTGGAAGAGATTATTGGAAGATATACCCAAGTTATATGAAGGAAAAGAGTTCCATAGGATTCTGAGGACTTCAGAGATTGTTCCTGATCAAAAGAACTCCATAGCAATAATTCCAACCACTTCCACACAATCCTCCCCATCTGAGGCCATTCTCATTTCTGGACAACCTCTTACAAAGTGCATCGTTCTTACCCCTCAGCAGACCCAGGACCTGGGGACCACCCTCACCCCCCAGCAGGCCCGGGATCAGGGGATCACTCTCACCCCTCAGCAGGCTCAGACTCAGGGGATCACTCTCACCCCTCAGCAGGCCCAGGGCCTGGGGATCACTCTCACCCCTCAGCAGGCCCAGGACCTGGGGATCACTCTCACCCCTCAGCAGGCCCAGGGCCTGGGGATCACTCTCACCCCTCAGCAGGCCCAGGACCTAGGGATCATTCTCACCCCTCAGCAGGCTCAGACTCAGAGGATCACTCTCACCCCTCAGCAGGCCCAGGACCTGGGGATCACTCTCACCCCCCAGCAGGCCCAAGCCCAGGGGATCACTCTCACCCCTCAGCAGGCCCAGGCTCAGGGGATCACTCTCACCCCCCAGCAGGCTCAGGCTCAGGGGATCACTCTCACCCCTCAGCAGGCCCAGGGCCTGGGGATCACTCTCACCCCTCAGCAGGCCCAGGCTCAGGGGATCACTCTCACCCCTCAGCAGGCCCAGGGCCTGGGGATCACACTCACCCCTCAGCAGGCCCAGGCTCAGGGGATCACTCTCACCCCTCAGCAGGCCCAGGACCTGGGGATCACTCTCACCCCTGAGAAGCCCCAGGTTTTTGGTGTCAAACTTACACATGAGCAGGCCCAGGCACTGAGGCCTTCTCTCACTCTAGAACAAGCCCAGACGTTGAGAGTTCCTATCACTCCTAAGTATACCAAGGTACTAAAGGCATCCGTTACCTCTGAACAGACCCAGGCAATGCAAATGCCACTAACTACTGAACAGGCCCAGATATTTGGGGTCCCTGTTACCCAAGAACAAGCCAAGGCATTGGGAGTCACTCTTATGCCAGAGCAGACCCAGGCATTTAGGGTCACCTTCACTCCTCAGCAGGTTCAGGCACTGGGGCCTCTCACTTCTGTTCAGGGTGAGTCACTGGGCCTTTCTCTCACCCCTGAGCAAGCACAAGCATTGGGGGTCCCTCTCACCTTGGATAAAGCCCATACCTTGGGATCTCCCCTCACCCTTGAGCAAGTCCAACCTTTGGGAGTCCCCTTCACCCCAGGACAGATCCAGTCTGCAGGTATTACTCTCATGTCTAAGCACGACCTGAAATTAAGAGGTTCTCGCACACCAGGTGCTCTTCACATTCCTAAGCAACCCGCCACATCAGCTCCTTCTGCTTATAGACCATTTCAGGAATTGAAGCCTTCTCTCCCCACTGGGCAATCCGTTACATCAAGATTATCTCCAAGCCTTAGGCAGTCTCCGGCATCATCTGTTCCTATCACTGAGGAGTTCTCTACATTTGGGATCTCTTCTACTCCTTTGCAGATATCAAGGCCTCCTCTCACCCAAGGCCCTTTTGCCCCTGGGAAGCCCCCAGAAATGGGGATTCTTCCTGACCCTGAGAAACTCCTGGAACCACAGACCCTTCCTTTCTCTAAACAGACCCTGATATATAGAGGTCCATCAACTTCTAGGCAGTTCCTAGCACCAGAGGCTCCTCCTACCCCTGGACAGCTCCCAATATCTGGGGCCCCTCCCACTCCAGGGCAGCCCTTTGAACTGGAGGCCTCTAGCTCTAGGCAATTCTTCATATCTAGGGCCTCTCTGACTCCCCGGCCACCTTTAATATTGAAGGCCCTTCTTGCTCCCAGGCAGCCTCTTGTCTCTGGAATCCCACCCACTTCTGGACAGATTCCCAGTCTCGGGGCCCCTCTCTCACCTGGGCAGCCCTTGGTTCCTGGGATCTCTTCCATCCCTGAGCAGCTCCTGGAATCCGAACCCATAACCTTCTCTGAGTGGCCCCAGGCATTCCAGCCTCCTGCCACCACTGAGCAATCTCCCTATCTGCAGGCCCCTTCTACCCTTACGCAATATCTAGCACCACGGACCCTTCCTGGGCAAGCTCCCCCATTATGGATCCCTTCCATTTCTAGGTATCCCCACCCACCCTTGGCCCCCCAAACCCCTGGAAAGCCCCAGAAAGGTTTGTCCTCTTCTGTTGCTAAGAGAAGACTGGCAATTATTTCTTCTCTGAAATCTAAACCAGCATTGGTCCAACCCAGTGCTCCAGATTTCAAGGTACCTCAAGTTTCTTTAACCACTAAGAAGGTCCAAATGTCAGAGGTCTCTGACACTTATGAAGAAACCCAGGCACACCAAGGTACTTTTGCCATAGAATCACTGAGAACATTTCAGTCCTATCTCACCAATTATAGGACACCAGTATCACAAACCCCTTACATGAAGCCTATAACATCACTATCTTCTCTTACTACTCAACTACTCAAAACATCACAGATCTCACCTTCGGAACGGGACCAGAGATCCCAATTCCCCCGGACCAAGAAACCCAAGATGATGGTGCCCCCTTCTTCTCCCCAAGGGCTTGAAGAGAAGAGGTATTTTGTTGATGTGGAGGCTCAGAGGAAGAACCTGATACTGTTAAATCAAGCCACAAAAACTTCTGGACTCCCTTCACAGCTATACACAACAGCTAGGAATCTCATAATTGAGACACTTCATATGGACACAGTTCGGCTGGGATACCTATTCCGCAAGTACATTGCCTATAGGCTGATCCAGAGCGCCAGGTAGATGTAATTATTTTATGTCCAGCTTTTTGGTATAGTCCTGATTTCAAATACTCTCCCTTGTTGCCCTAGAAATATATTCATATTTGTCATATTATCTTATAGAAGATCTGTGGAATGGAAGCCTGTTTAAGATAGCAAAAGGAGACATATTTTTTTAGAAAATAAGAAATGATATATAACATAATCCATTTCATCATTTACATCTCTAGCAGAGATGCCAAGATATATTTTGTGGATCATGTTTTATCTCCAAAACATCAACATCAAAAGTTTAGAGATGCTTGTCAGTTATTCTCAATTTCTTTCATCTTCTGTTTTTTTTTTTTTTTTTTTAATACAGAATCTTGCTCTGCTAGAGTACAATAATGTCACGATAGCTCACAGCAACCTCAAACTCCTGGGTTCAAGTGACCCTCCTCAGCCTCCCAAGTAGCTGGGACTATAGGCACGCCACTGTGCCCACTGGTTAATTTTTTAATTTTTAGTAGAGACAGGTCTCACTCTTGCTCAAGCTGGTCTTTTTTTTTTTTGAGACAGAGTCTCCCTCTGTTGCCCTGGCTAGAGAGAGTGCCGTGGCGTTAGCCTAGCTCACAGCAACCTCAAACTCCTGGGCTCAAGCGATCCTGCTGCCTCAGCCTCCCGAGTAGCTGGGACTATAGGTATGCACCACCATGCCCAGCTAATTTTTTCTATATATTTTTAGTTGTCCAGATCAT